TTGCAATATCCCACCACTAACATTCAGATTTCTAATTCCTATGAAGAACTCAATAGGCAGCTGGTACAATACTTCAGTACAATAGTCATTGTTTGGGGCTTTTTAACATTATCAGTGAACTTGTATATACTGTAAGAGGTATTTAGGCTAAAAGAGATTACACTGTATCACACTAAGAAAAACCAAACAAGATGCATTACATCTGTATCTCCCAGAAATACAGACATAACCTCCCCCTTTCCATACCAGAGGCACAAATGCTGCAGAAAAAAAAGAAAAAAAAAAAAAATCAACTGCAGCTGTCCAATGCAGAGTAATAGCAAGAAAAGAGCAAACTGCAGCATTCATTTCCAGCTTCCTCAGGCTCCGAGTGGGCACTCTGTATGACACCAACACTCTCTTCCAAGAGCAGCCTGAAGAGCACACCATATAAATTCAAAAGAGATTACCTGTTTCTCTTGATGCCTCCTACTGCAATAACTCTTTGAGCAAGGGTTAACTTTAATTTATTGAGTTCTAACTGGCAATCTTGAGGAAGAAGTGTTGCTCTCTAAGCCATTTATTGTTTGTCCCTATAAATTAATGAAAATCAGCCACTGTCACTTTACCTCAAAGACACAATTCAAACTCCTACCAGATTGTCTCTCTAAGCCGATCACATCTCCACCTCAGGCTCTGTCTATTCTCTGCCAATCATTCCCTCACTACAGCTTGTATTTTTGAGGCACCGTGCCCATTACTTAATATGGTGGGCATTCCTAACAGTTTGGAAGTATACAAGCTTCCTTAGGCTGTATAATGAGAATATTTTTAGGAGATGACTGCCTGAATAATTCTTACTTTAGCTCAAGACTTTTTTTGCAGAACAGTACATAACACTTGAAGGAAGGAAACAAAAGATCAGACTTTACCACCTGGTGCCTATTGAGCGTAGTTTCAATGCAACTCACCATCACACTTTCTGTAGAAGTGAATGAATAAATACAAGCTGAACAGAAAATATCATGAACACACTATTTACCAATCCTACAGTATTTGCAGCAACTTTTTAAGTGTTTGGTAAACACTGATTCTTCAGAAACTGTAAAAGACTAAGGGCGGGAAAACACTTAGAGGCTCTGAGGAAGAAACAAAATCAGTATTGAGTTTGGAGATCTAAAGATAACTGATAACAAAAGTCTTGGAAGTACACAATAATAGAATGGCTTAGATTGGAAGGGACCTTAAAGATCACCCAGTTCCAACCTCTGGCCATGGGCAGGGCTGCCCCCAGCAGATCAGCTGCCCAGAGCCCCATGCAGCCTGGCCTGGAGCATCTCCAGTGATGGGACACCTACAGCTCACTGGGCAGCTGTGCCAGTGCCTCACCTCTGAGTAAAGAATTTCTTCCTAACATCTAACCTAAATCTCCCCTCTTTTAGTTTAAAGCCATTCCCCCTTGTCCTATCACTATCAGACCGTGTAAAAAGTCCATCTTCCCTCCCCGTTTATAATCTCCCATCAAGTTCTGGAAGGCCACAGAGGTCTCCCCAGAGCCTTCTCTTCTCCAAGCTAAACAAGCCCAGCTCCCCCAGCCACCAGGCTTATGTCAATTGCCGATGAAAAATTGCAAGTACTCTAAAAAGTGAGAAGAAAAAATCAGAGAACCATACTGACTCTCATAATGGATTCCAGGAAGCAAAAGACTGTCTAGAAAATTGGAGAGAACGTAAAGTGGGTGCTTTCATTGGTAGAAATGTAATACATTGGTGGAATGTAACTTGACTAGAAAAAAGTGAGTTGGAGCCATAAACCAACTTGAGGAAGCAGATGGTTCTGAAAACACTGCAAAGACACTGCTCTTCAAAACATCTACTCACAATGACTTGAGCAACGTCTGCCCATTACTTACTTCAGCAAGTACAACTGCAAGTGTCTCATCAATGATGTATGCAGGCAAATATCAGTTACAAGCATTATCTCATTCAAAAAGAAAAAAAGATAGGTAAAAGCAAGTAATGAAGGCAGTCCATTATCCGAACAAGGCATTTCTAAAATAAAAGTTCAAAATGATTTGCTAAGTTCAAAAGGACTCTTGGTTTCCCCAGAATTGACATGCTTTGCTGAAACTTCCTCTGGGATTTCAGTACAGGTGAATCAGTGGAAACTGAGAAGAGCCAAAATCCAAGGGCATCCATCCATAAAGGAGATGCAACGGGCTTCTACTTCACACTATCAGTTCTACATTTGAAGAGAATACTCTTGTATAGAAAGTAACATAAGAAGACTTGACAATAAACTCAGTGAAAATTAAATGGAAGAAAAACAACCATATTAATGGTAATATTAAAAACACTTGAGCACAAAGCAAAAAGCTGCAAAATTTAAAAAGCCTGCAAGTGGTGGGGATGGTGGTTTGTTAGTTTGTTTAAGAAGAGGAATCCCCAGCCAGCAGCATTTCCCTCAGTCTCAAGAGGATTCTCTTTCAATTAATTAATGACGAATTGGACTCTCACAAGGACAAACTCAAAACAATTGAAAAAGTTAGAAAACCTCTCTATTATATAACTCGTCTGACTGATCCCAAATCAAAACACAGCCCGAGCTGCCTGACTGGAGGAAAAGGCTTACAAAATGTAGCTCCTCTTGGCTTCCCTTTACATTTTAAATCAAAGCACTCTGCATCTAACCTCATTTTTTGCTCACATAGGAAGCTACATCACAGGCTACTGCAAAATGGTAAACCGTGTCAATAAAAAAATACACAGGCTGAATTGAGAACTACCACACTTTAGAAGACTCAGTATGACTAACAAGCCCAGAATTTGGCAAGTTCTCAATGTTGCTTTTTCTGACTACAAAAACAATGTCACAAAGAGGTGTTAAAAATAGTTAAATCTGCACAAGTTTCCTGAAATCCAAGCAGATCCCAGACAATGAAAGGTTCCAAGTCAGCCCGGGCTCACTGGCAACACACTGCATACAGAAAAGTACCTGCAAGAGCTCTGTGTCAATGGTATCATGCATGAATCTGTTGAGTGGATAAATAATTTTTTAGGCAACAAATCAGTGCTCATGCACTTCTCAAAATACCCCCACATTACAGCAAAACCTTTGTACAAAGGAATTAGGTCTCTCTACAGATAAAACCGAAAAATATGAATTAAGTACAAACAATGCCACCCTTGCCTACACAGGCTGAGAGGTCTGCAGAAGCTCGAACAGCAACATCATCATACTGTGTAAATTATTACAATTATCACCACGAGGATGTCAGCTGTTCTGTTTCCCATGTCAAGTGAGATACCAAAAATTTCAAAAATGTACAGTCTACTGAACCAATTTTTCATTTTAATGCGCAACAAGTGGATGCCAATAGAGGAGCAATTGCTGTTTGCTTTCCAATTTGGTCAAGAGAGCCAAAGGTACAGGGCTGGGCCCAGGAAAACACAAAATCACATACCAAAGCCCTGGAGATCACACAACTAAAAACCAATCACCTGTTCAAGTACCAGTCTGACTGGCAGATCTCACACAAACCAGTTTTATACACCTCTGCTGAACTTGAGTCTTTCCACAGCAGCATGTTTTCAAAACCTCAGCTCCTTGCAAGCACATTACTAAACACCAGACTTAAAGCAAAACATGAAGTTTACTGTGCCCAACCCTTAGTTCTGCATCTCAGGATTCAGAGCTGCAAAAAGCTAATTCCAACACTATCCATCCTCTTTGCACAAATAGGATGTTTCATAGGAAAGCCACACATCCTGCCAGCACGACCGGGATACCAAAAGCCATTCAAGTTGGATGTGCATTCAGCATTTCTCTATCTTCTTCTTTTAATTAATTTATTTTAAATGCCCATGCACTCCTTAGCTCTACACCTGATCAGTCAAGAGATGCAGACAGTTCCATATCTGGGACTAGGGACAGTTCACATATACTAAAAGTTTAAAAATTAAGCTACTCTGGAAAGCCTGTGGGTAAGGCAAAGTGTACCTTCTAGTCCCAACCTTGTGATAAGTGAATGTTTGTCCATAGCATAACACTGCCAGATTTTAGTACAACTCATTATTAATTGAACTCTCAGCATAAGGCCATTGCTCAGAAGAGAATGAAGCTTTGCAGCTCAGTCAGGGAGGTAGTAACAAGGCAGCTATGGTCACAAAGGCCAGCAGTAACAGGGAAAGCACTGACACCAGATTGAAAGAAAAGAAAGGAGAAGAAGAGTAGAGAGCACTCATGCAACTTCTGCTAACCATATGGCTGTCCCTTCTTACTGCAAATGCCACCTGGATTCTAGGGTCAAGATGCATCAGGGTAAAAGAGAAATTGTGTTTCAGTTTAAAAAAAATAATCAAGGGAAGAATTAGCAGCTACACAATGGTTTTAAAGATTTTTTTTGAAATTCGTAATGCCTTTTTCCTGTCTACTATTAAAAAGAAACAACTGTCAGAAGAAAGGAAAGCAACTCTTCTGAAGCAGACACATAGTGGTTTGCTTGCCCCTCTGTCACATCACAAGGCCTTCTTGCTCTACTACTACAAAATAATGTTTTCATTTTAATAGAAATAAGAGAAAATTACAGAAAGGGGTAAGAAAAATAGATTGTTCTATACAAATATGTCAAGCTGTATAGTAGTTATAAGAACCTTTATGACACCTTCATCCAATTTAATCAATGCAACTGGGACCCAGTGTGGGTATAACTATTCCTGAACAAGTTTGTGCTTCGGTTACCAAAGGCTACTTTCAGATTTCCAATAGCAAGTTCAGAAAACGTACTCAGAAAAGCAGCACCAAAGTATTACTGAGATCACACAGGTGAGAACTCATCCAAAACACAGAGCAGTGTTTTGGATGAGTAAACTCTCATCTCAGCCTGTGGCCAGAGCTGCCCTCACCAGCCATCCCACACCACCTTCTCACACCTTCAGCACCCCGTGCTCTCCTCGCTCCAGCGCCTCACATCCCTGCCACCACGTGTCCTCAGCACGCCCGAGGATGCCAGGCGATCTCACCTTTCATTTTGACAGTGGGAGAATTGGGTCCGGCCGATTGCTTCCGCCATCCTCTCCAGTTCTGGCAAAGGCTCTCCGCCTCTGAGATGAAGGAACAAAGGGAGTCCTCCTCAAAGTGATCGGAGTCCTCGAAGGAGAACCTCTCCCCGTCCTCCCACTCCGCAAACATGAGTTCCATCACATCCAACAGGCGACACGGGGAAAAAAGAAAAAAGAAGGAAGCGGAGCTGCTCGCTTAAACAGGTGGATGGACCGGAGGGTTCCCGGAGTACTTAAAATGTCAGTTCCGTTCAGATCCCCGTGGTACGGTACCAGGAAGAACAGAGCAAATGCTACCTTGAAGCGGGAGAAGCAGGAAACCGAGGCAAACTAGAGGGTTGCTTGTAAAAATCCCAGAGTTCTTAAAAAAAGTTTAAAAAATGTTTATGTCCACAAAGTGTGTCCGACCCCGAGGGGCGGCCGCTACACGAAGAGGCGCTTCCAGCCCGGGCAGGTGCGCGTCTGTCACAGCCCGGCGCTCCCGACGCCGGCAGCCCCTCGTTCGGACCCGCGGCGGCCGCGCACCGGCCGGGGCTCCCTGCGCTGGTGCTTGTCTCACTCTCAGGGCAAAGCCCCGCCGGGACCGGGCCTCCCCCCGCCCGCGGCACCGCAGGAACGCCCCCGGGGGCGGTGAGCCCGAGCGCCGACGGAAGGAGGGGGCTCGGCGGAGCCGGGGCGTCCGCGGCGGGGGCAGCGCGACCTCCCGGCGGCTCGTCACCGGCGCGGGCGGGCGGCGGGCGGCGGCTCCGGCCTCATGGGGGCGCGGGCAGGGAGAGCCCGGCGCCGGGGGCCGGCGGCGGGCGGGCGGACGAACGGGCGGGCAGGGGCGGCGCGGCGCCGCTCCCGTCACGGCCGGAGCCCGCGACTCTCGGGGCCCGCGGCCGGCAGCGCCCCGCGCGCGGACGCCCCCCCGTGCCCGGCCCGGCGGCGGTTCGCTGTCCTGGCGCGGCGACGGCGGCGAGTCCCTGCCCGGCGCGGGCACCAAGATGGCTCCGCGCTTCCCAGCTTCACCTGCGACACCCCCCCGCCAGCTGAGCCCCGCTTCCGCCGCCGCGCTTCCGGCTTCCGCCGCCGGGCGGGCGCGTAGGGCATGCCGGGCCGGAGCGGCCGGGAGCGGAGCCGGGTGCGGGTCGCGTCCCGTGGCCGATCGCCGTGGCTGTGCGGGCAGTCAGGACCGGGCTGGAGGGAAGAACCCGTGCGGCGCCTGAACGGGCGGCGGTAGCACGTAGCAGCCGCGCCTCTGCGAGAGCGGAGCGCTTCGGTCTTTCTTATCTTCTTTCAGAATATCTCGCGGAGCGGACGGCGTCACGAGGAAACGGCCCGGGGCCTCGGCCGTCCCGCACAGCGGCAGCGGGGAAGCGCGGCTCGTGCTGAAGTGCGGCGCTGGGCCCCGGAACGAAGAGCACGTAGGTTGTGCGAGGAGAAAATACCGGCTGCACGCATCTGGTGTAGATCTGAGAGCATGAAGCTGCCCAGTGCCCTTTCCGATTATTATTTTTGTAAGATGTTTTAGGAAAGGAGACTGAGTAAAGAGAAAGTGCCGTTCCCCTCCTGTTTTATTTCCTCATACAGCAATAAATCGGAGGAGCAGCTTTCAGAAAAAGCAGCCGCAGTGCGCTGCCCTCGGGGCTCAGGCCAAAAAGCCCCTTTTCTCCGCAGCCGAGCCGGGAGGAAACAAGGCAGGTGTTGGGAGCCAGAGGAGCCTGAGCAACTCTGAAGTTAATATTGAGAAAGTACTCCACATCCCATTACATAAGGAGTTACATAAGGTTTTCCTACACCTAGGTCAAAAGCCTTTGTTTCAGCTTTTTCTAAAATTCTGTTTTATTTTAGAGATCTGTTCTGCCGTGAGTGTAGAAGAGTGAAAAAATGAAAGCTGAGTTCTCTCTGTAAAGTGATGCTGAGAAAGCATCGGCTGAGCAACCATAGGCTGCACCTGTGTCTCCCTATTTGTGCAGAGGGAAACATGTGAATGATAGGGAAAAAAAAGAAGAGCTAGGGAAAACAGAATGAAGTGCTGAGAAACAGGCATCCTAAAGCTGAGAGAAACTGAAGCGTCTCAGATCAATCAGCACGTCCCTCAGTCCTCAAACAGAGGAACAAAAAATTCCCCTGTGTTTAGTGATGGGTCCTCGTAGTGAGCCTTGAAAGATAACCTCGTCCTAGGGGAAACTTTTACATGGTATTTTCCTACATATGTGATGCTTGCCAATTTAGTATTTAAGATTTCAAACACACAAATTCATATCACTAAAATGTGTATCAATTGTATTTTTTTTACCTGTATAAATGTGGGATCCCTCTGTTCTTCCTACCAGTAGGGAAAATGGAGCAGTCCACAGTTTGTTAATTCTCAAATCTTCCTCTAAGACTTCATCTAATTTAATGTGCTGTTGTCCAAAGCTGCTGGGCTTAAAATACTTGCACAATTCCTTTAAGGGATGTTCCCGAGGAGATATCTGAGGTAACAGATAGATGAGAAATGTATTCACTGCATGCCTATTTACAGAAATATTATTAGCTAAATAAACTCTCTTAGTAGCTTTCTGTGCTTTTTTTTCCTCAGATTTTTTATTTTTTATTTTTATTTTTACTTATTTATTTTTTGCCAGCAGGCTGTCTGTATACATTTTCACTTCATAGGAAGAGCTAATTTACGCTCATGCATACGTACATATGGCATCTGGAGGGTCATATAGCCAGCTACACAAGAATACATGTATTAAAACCTATGAAATCAATTCAGGAGCACTGAAATTTAAACTCTTCCTTTGTGTGTGTGGGGGGGGGGGGGACGGGGAGAAAGCCCACAAACACACACAACCTGTTTTTCAGCTAGTGAAAAATACTATTAATTAACATTAATTAACAATAGATGTTGTAATTACCCTGTGAGCTAATGACATGCAGTCAGGCAATTAGGCAATTAACGTCCCTTTTTACAGTGTGCAGGGGCAGGCAGAAAATGATACTAGGTATAACACGGAGCTTTAGAGCTTTGAGCAAACTGCTTTGCCTCTAGTTCTGTGAAATCAAAATGTTTAGATCTTGGCTCCACAAAGATAGAAACGGTTGGATGGTTAACATCCTCAAAAACATCACAGCAGGGCATCAGATGCTGACCTTACTGATAAAAAGTTCTCCAGAGGTGTCAGCAGTAGTATCTTTATCACCGTGACCCCAGCTGGTACCCCAACATTCTCCACACTTAGTATTTCAGTCTCACCCACAGTTTATTGTCTTTTTCCCCCTCATCAGTGAGCTGAGCCTTAGGAACCTGAATATCACTTCTCTTTTATTTTTTTAAGGAGATTTGGAGCTGGTACCTTCTCAATTAAGAATTTACCAGACTTGGGTCTTTGTTAACTTCCTACCAAATGACTTCAATTGAAACTACCTCCAAATGCTATGCAACAGCTGCCATTACAAACAAAAGCACTGACCTGCTGACAAGCTCAAATCTGACACAAAGTTATAGCCAGGGTTGATACAGCAGTAGATCATGGTGAATAATGCAAATCTGATAATTTTCTTCATCCTTCTGATAAAAGATAATTTTCCTCAGACACAGTCCACCACCAACCTATGAGACAGAGGTATGAGAGCTGTTTGATTTTGGGAGGAGGGAATTCCCATGCTTGGGACAGTAAGGAAATTTGAGTAAAGATGCAGTTTGCCACAAAATCTGACATAGAGACCTTAGGGACTTAAACCAACACAGTGCACAGGTTCTAAGGTAGGCTCGCAGGAGGACTGTCAATAATGGATGATAATGTTTCATGGCATGAGGGAGATTAGCACTTCTTAAAATAAGATGCATAAATAATTCTTAAATTCAGGAAACAGGGATCCTCCAGGGCAGCATTTGGAACTCCCAAAGTTGAAGGACGATCCGAATCTTCCTGTGGAAAGAAAGAAGACGAATACCATGACAGAAGTGACTACAAGGAAGCAGGATGATGCTCCCTGTACTTCTCTACTATCTGAGTCAGAAGCCACAAGAAGATGCCCCTATAAAGTATGCATGCCACTACTCCAGGTATAAAAGCTTTGCTCAGTGGTCCTTCACTGATTTGGGGATTTGGAATGGTTCTGTTTTGTCTTGGATTGTTTCTGGGTGTTCTGCCAAGTGCCAGGAGCTGTGCCAAGCAGAGTCTCTCAGGCTCTCCATTCCCACCACTTCTGTCTGTGTACTTCTGTTTCCAGACTGGTGCCACAGCCACAGCTCCCCGGCCTGGCCACCTTGGCAAGGAGTATTCACCATGTTTGCTCCCCAGCCTTAGTGTGGCAGAGAGTACTATCCTGCCCCAGGTACTTCATACACCTTCTGCTGGACTTCCTCTGGCTGATGCAGCTGGCAACAACTCTGAAACAGATTAGCAGACACGTGCACAGAAAGAACAAGCTGAATTTCTGCAGTGGGAACAAAATTTCATATAACAAGGTGAAGCCCTTTCACCACTGGTTGCTGCTTGTTCCTCCAGGCTGATCACAGGCAGAAAACAAGGAGATGGCTTTTCCTGGTTTTCACCATTTTAGTGGCTGGTCAGTGGGAGTATGTAAATGACATACTGACACTGGGCTTGACGCTTCTCCCAAGTTTCCCAGGTAGTGGCTAAAACTTCCTTCCAAGGGATCTACCACACACATCCTTGCAATGCTACAAAGCCAACATTGTGTAGTGCACTCAGCTAATGGGCAGGTGCATGACACCAAACAAGCCAGGTACCAGGCAATATGCTGTAGCACAGTGTGCTAAGTTCGTCTCATATACTTTGGCATAAAATATAATATGGCAGAAAATTTATCCTGCATTGCTGTCCAATTGGATCTCCTTCCAAGGGATTTAATGCACGCACACACATTTGTACTGCCAGATGACCTGTTAGTGCACAGCACCTCTAATAGTTAGAGAGAGGCACACATCTTACAGATTATGGGAGTTCTGACAGTTTACATCAACAGGACTGTAGGTCATGAGCTATAAGAAAGCTGAAACACCTGAAGATTTCACAGTGCCTTATGGAATGCTGCATGAAAGAAGGCTTTCACCTGCAGGAACAGTGCTCTTCTGGTGAGGAAAAATGGCTTAGAAGACTGGGGGGGTCTAAAAGAATCTAAAAATACAGCTGGAGTTTTGAAGTGTGTTTTGATAGGAAAAAGGAAATGAAAGAAGTGCGCACTAAGAAACTAAACAGATTTTGTCAAGGGATGAAGAAATAACTATGGGTAAGATTCTTCATCTTGACATGAGCTGTTGTATGACTGAGAATGGTGTTAATAGGCAGGTAGATGTGGTGCCTGGAACTGCTCACTGATATCTTTTGTCAACATCACATGCAACACAGCAGTTAGCTTTTACGAGAATCCAGTAGAAAATAGAAGTTGCTTCAGGAAAAGACAGAGGACAGAAGGAGAGCTTTGCTAATATGGCATTTTTCAAATTACAAATGGGCTTCAGCTCATTATGTTTACTTCTATTCAACTGGAACAGTCCTCGCTCATATTTCTTCCCCTTTCAGCTCTGGGAAAACACACGTTGAAGAAATTTCCAAAGAAATCTTGCTTTCACTTTCTAAAACATCATAGGCTGAAAGCATGGAAGAGGTGAGGAAAGTAGTGAGGCAAACAAGCAGGGTGAAACTTTGCACTTCTGTCTTAAAATGCATTTCAGAAGACTGAAAAAATG